AGGACCAAAATGTTGGTAGGTATTTAGTGCGCTAAACTACCTATACCCTGTTTGCTGGGGGGAGATCTTCCAAATTGCGAGTGAGGGGGTGTTTAACCTGCGGTGGAGGTGAGTACTGGTGAAGATCATCCTACTTTGAGGTTTACGTGCAGTTATACTTGGACTTATCCTATCCTAGTAACAGACAATTTGCCCACCAAAAAGGCAAAGTCAACCAACGTGACATGTGAGTTCAGGGTTGAGGGCTCAAATTTTAGCGAGGGGCCCCACAGCTTTGCCAAAACACAGGCTGCTACTTGCCGGCCCCGAGAATCAAAGGGAAAAGTATAATGGAAACTACAAGGCTTTCAGGTACAAATTGGCCATAAAGGCTCAGCAATTATGTCTGCCTATAATTGTACTTGTGTCCAAATTATGAGCGCTCAGTCCCTTAACATGGTTCTAGTTCAGCTATAAGTGCAGTTATCGTTGGGTAATATTAACTATGGACCTCAAACAACCCGCACGTGTGATTGTGATTGTACCGCGCCTTCTCCAGCAGAATTGTGCACGGAGTTCTCCCGAAATACCGACGGCTCCCGCATAATGGTAGAGGCACCTCAGACTTGGAAAACATGTGCTTGCATGCTTCTTTCTGGGCACTGGACCTCATGCAGCTAGGTCACGCGCATTCCATGATGAGGCAAGATTGGAACCAAAAGTCATAAACCCTCAAGGCCAGAAGACATTCTGGCCATGATCATGCAAAGCCAAACCCTTAGTTCAGAGAATCCGGCCATGCTCACTGCGTGGCGATGCCGGTCCATGCACTGCCTGCGGCCAAAAATGGGTCATGAACAGATTGTTGTAAAGGCTAAACCCCAAACCCTAACCAGGGGCTTATATAGGGGTTATATTGGGATAATGGAAAATAAAATGGAAACTACTATTCTAAACAAGAAATGAATGTAAACAAATTTGAAGGCATCTGCGGGAGCAAGTCATTGCCTCTCTACTTGCTGCCACCAATTACTTGGCGGGTCAGGGGGGCTTAGTAAGTTAGTTAATAATGGGAGGGGTTATAAGTATACTTACTAAGTTCCCCCTGACCCTCCAATTACCTGGTCAGCACTGATCTTTCTTGTTCCTTTCCCGCCGCCAGCTGGTCTCCCCTTTGCGCAGCGGGGGCAAAAAACCCTAAACCCTAAACCCTAAACCTTCTTATAGCACCTACAGGATCCTCCAGAAATCCGTATATACTAGAATTACTAAAAGGGCTTGCGGTTTAGGGCTCCCATCCACCCCTTGGCTGGGAGGCCTCAGAAAGAGCAAGCGCCGCCGCGGTACCTCATTCCAAGCTGAGCTGGGTTATACTTTACTGGCCTTTGGTGGCTGGGAATGACGGAATGGAAAAGACAATGGAAACTACTACAATAGGTTCTATAGGGAATAATGAAGGAATGGAAAAGAACATGGAAACTATTATGACGGGTTCTATAGGGACTACTATAAGGATCCATCCCTCACTAACCAAAAGCCAATTTAAGGCTCCCAACAGTTCGGGCCTATGTAGCGACCATTAGCCGTATCTCCCCAATTATAAGAGTACTATCTGCTCTTGGTAGAACAAGGTTAGTGGACAATAATGGACAAAAACAACGATCTCTCACTGCCACCTAGCAAGAAATCATGCAAATCGCTGCTTTCTTGTGGCTTTGGAGTGAGTAAGGCTTTCCAGGCCTGTCACGCACTATATAACCCTACTTTCTATTTTCAATTATTCCCCTAACACGTACAAGTACACTTCACTCAACTCAACTTCAAGGAAAGGCGCTACTCCCTCACCTGTTGAGAGTCCTTGCGTTCCACTGCGTAGCGCAGTACAGGACAACAGGGTGCTGCTCAAAATCCAGGTCCCGAAAGAGGTAATTGAAACGGCTCCCACACGGAGCCCACAATTCCGACAACTATCCATCTTGATCAGCAAGGCACATTACCTCTGTTGACACGCCACCAAGGACCCACAGCTTCGAGAAACTTCTACGTGGAGGGTCGGGGAGACTTAGCAAGTACGTTTATGACCCATGGCCTAAAACCTAAAACCTAAATCCTAGATGACGGTGGTCCCTGCATCAACCTCTTAGCCTACCAAGTCCGCCTGAACCCCCACCACGAAGCCCTAAAAAGGCTATCTTAGCTGAAGCTGATTGAGGCTGGTGCCATCATTCACAGGAAGCATCAAGGTCAAACGCTTGTCCTGAATGAAGGGATCTAGACGGTTGCACGGTGCGTAGTACCAGTGGCATGTCTGCGACAGTCTGGAAAAGCTGGACAACCCATGTCGCTCAGGCTGGCAAATCAAAAGCCGATTGCTCGGTAAGCTCAGGGCCGGAGAGGGTGAGAAACCGTAAGGTCTGTCTTCAGTCTGCATGATGTCAATGAACCTCAGGACATAAGCCACGCGCACTTGCAAATGCACACCATAAACCCTTCTGCTGTCACACAGGAGGGCTTTGAAACAAGAGAAAAAAGTGTTCATTGGAGTCCCAAGAACAAGCATAAAAGGTGTAGCGTTCGGGGCCATATGCCCGAGACGCTTCTTTGGAAATATCCACATGCCATCAGCTGTATTTTACGAGGTCTCATGCTATTATTTCTCTTAGATATGGTTATGAGTATACATGAAACTAGAGTTGTTCAACATTCCTACCCAGGAGTAGGCTGCCCAGCAACTGCGAGTCCTGTGTTGAACGCCGGGATTTGGTGGATTTCACATCGCTGGTGTCGGCTTCGCGAACCAAGAGAGGGCCTACCACAAGCAGTCCTACCTGAGTAACACCCGGATAATATTGAATCCCCCCAAATATTAAATACTCCCAATGTATTCTAATATGCCACAATAAGGAATATAAATTTTGAGGGCCTGGGGTTAATATAGGGGAAGGGGAATATTCTCCTGGTAGAACCCTATAGCCAAAGATAGGATTTGATCATAGTGTATATTGGGGACGAGAGCACCGCCGTGAACACAAGGCACTTTCAAAGGGCAGAAAAAAGCAGGCAAGCAAATGAATGCTAGCTCTTTGCGTTACACCCTCGATTGCACGGCATGGAACAGTGGGACCAGCTGACTACGATACGCACATGCGACCAGTTTGCCGCGAAGATGTTTCTGAATGCTTTACCTACGATGCAGCATATGGTCACTCTGCGAACGGTCTTTCTTCCGGATTTGGCTAGGTCCGGTGCCTGGAACACTTATGTGTGTCAAAACAAAGGAAAAAGACAGCAAGCATACCCTCGTTTGTACGGATATCCGAGACTTAGACCGTGCAAGTCCGCGGGACTTGTGCCAACTTACATGGCTCTGCAAATACAAGGACTGTGTATAATACGCCAACCGCAGGACCCAACACGCGACCGAAACTGCTTGGCCCTGTGACTCAACAACCATACTCTCTCATAAGGGCAGCAACAGCAATAGCTTTGATCTGTTACGTCTACAACATCGACCCGGAACCGCATTGCCTATGCTCATCCCCCTTTTCCGGTGCATGATTCTCGGTTGACTAGAAATTAATGGGGACGGTTCCGGGCATGCCGGGGCCTTGTAGGGTTCTAAGGGGAGTACAGGGATACGGAGGGGGGAGATGTGTGGGTTAGGAGAATATGGATTGAGACATGCTGGGTGGGGGGGGTTTATAAGGTGATTCTAGGGATGCATGTTGAGAATGAGATGAGCTATGGTCTAAACTCCTAGTAACCCCCTTCATAATAACCACTTATAATTCTCCCCTATATAATCCCCTACATAACCCCATAACCCCTTTTGAAGGAGCGTAGACTACAGCTCAGATAGGGTTTAGGGCTAAGCATGTGATGATGCACGGGTAGTCCCCTACTAGTCCCGCACAGTTGTGGGCTCACATTGACATGCCGAACTTCAAAAGCACATCGCGCCTAGACAAATTGCAAGCACTAGTGTTACCTATGATGGGAAGAGTAGATACTATATGCTACTAGCTAATTATACCTGGCTCTTTTCCTCCATCCCTCCCAGAACCCTAAACCCTAAACTCCAAGCCTTCCAAGGCTTCCTCAAGCTGCGCGAGCTCTTCATCCAAATTGCGCCGGGTAGGCGCTGAAAGCGGCCGTGCTGGAGGCGGAGCTTTGGGGAACTTGAGCTGAAGATCGCTGCCTGGCCATAGAATTTACCATGGCACTTAGCACCCCTTCTTACGGTTCACTTTTAGGTACCTGTACAGGAATACAGGGAAACCCCAAAAAGTGAAGGGTCTAAGGTCCTACCAGTAGCGAAGTGCCAAGGAGAATTCGGGTTTAGGGTTTAGGCTCTGGGTCCTGGGTCTGGACGGGGTAGGCGAAAAAGGTTATGGGATGTTATGGGTTGAGGGTTTAGGGAAAAGGTACCGCTCACGATGCTAACCTGGCCACTTCTTGCATACAGCCTTCAAGACATGTGGTATTTCGCCTACTTAAGGGGGCCCCGATACACATCCCAAATGCAACAACCCTTATTCTGGGCAACCCCAAAATGATATGGCTAATTCCTAGGAAATTCCCATGTTGGGCATCCTGCAAAGGGCCTCCGCCTCCATTACTACCTTGACCCGAGCACCCACGAGACTAACCCAGAGCCCCTAGAGGATCCAAGGAAAGGAACCTCAACGCAACCTCCAATAACCCCATAGTTTACCCAATGTAGTAATGCGGTCTTTTGGGGGATTCCTTTTTTGGATCCTTTCGGGGATTTGCGAAGTCGCTTGCATACCCGGCCTTCACCCCACAATGGCCGGCAGGCCATACGCGCCCGAATTCGGCTCTTCTGGTAGGAGGATACCCAGTCCCGCATCAGTGTTGCAAAGCCAGGGGACTGCGAATTGAGTCCTTGCTCGGCAATCTGCTTTTCCAAGTACTGCTGTTGCTGAAAGAGGATGCTAACTCCCTTGGCATCCGGGCAATGTGCTGCTGGCATAGCTGATGCAGGGCGTGGACGGACTGAGGCCAAGCTGTTGTGCCGCATCTCCATGCACATTGGTGCGGATTGCGGCCTGGTGCTGTTTTTTGGTGGTGCAGGCTGTACAGGTGCTTTGCCCGAGGAAGGCCTCCCTGAAGATGGCCTGGCAGAGGAGGGCCTGGTGGATGCAGGCCTGGCTGTTGCCCTGGCCGACTGGGGCCGGCCAGAAGCAGGTCGAGCAGAGGAAGGCCTAGATGCAGGTCTTGCAGAACAGGGCCGCTGCCGCCCAGATGCCGGCCGCCCAGCTGAATTTGGCCGCCCGGCCGAATTTGGGCGCGACTGTGCATAGGGCGACTTGTACTGATTCTCGCGTGTGTATTGGGCAGATCGCGGGCGATCTAAAGGCAGTCGTCTGGGACCGTCTGGCCAAGCGGACTGGCTGAACTCACCTGCTTGCACAGCAAGATTGGGAACACTTAGCAGCTTGCTATGAGATTGAGATCTTTGAGCACAATTTGAACTCCCCAAAGGGACCATGTGTTCGAGCAATCTGCACTTCCCATGAAAGACACAAAGCATGTATCAGCCTCGGGCTCCGCGTCGTGGTGCAGGGGGACGCCGGCGTGGTTCTGCCGGTGGGCAGGCTTCCGTGCCTCGCCAGGCAGCTCTTGAGGGGTTAGGGATTCTGTGCGGGTTGAATAGGGGTTATACTGGGATACATATATACATGAAGCGAAAAGAGAAGCATGGAAGCTGCAGGCTATAGGCTTAAGATTTTTCTCAATAATGGAGAACCAAATGGAAAAGCAAACGGAAAGGGTGTTACCTTGCTGGTTGCTTTCCCGGCATGCAGGTAAAAAACAAAAAGGACACATGACAGCATTAATGATTATATGAGCCATCATCTAAACTCCCATATAGTATCCCCCTTCATGATAACCTCCACCTAATATTAACCCCCCCCGCCTCCGATGTAAAATACCGGTTTCCCAGAATTCCACTTTCTGAAATCCGCCCCCAAGACTACCTTTGAAAGGGCCAAGACTAAAGTAGATTACGGCTCGGATCCTCTGAACTAGGGGGGTCCCTAGCACGACTCTGTAGGATGAACTAAAGATCTCCTTGATTTCCTAGACTTGGATTGTTGTTACATAGTTTTTATACAGGAATTTATGTAGAACCTGAATGCGGTTTTAGTTGGTTTTATTGCGTTTTTATATCAGCTTTAATTAGTTTGTAATTCGATTTTACGTAAGTTTCACTTGACTGTAGTCGATAATTGAATCTTATTCGGAATTGAATTGATTTCAATGGGTTTGATTACGTTTTTGAATTGAATTCTAATTAGTTGCATTTAGATTTTCATTAGATGTCAATGGCTTGTGTTGACTTGAATGGCTTTATTACGGTCTTATTGCGATTTTGATTCGACTGACTCATTTTGTTATTCGATTCTATCCAATTTCAAATTATTCTAATTAGACTGCAATACCCCCCTAATGTCCGGGTCGTACGATGAATGCTCCTTAATGTTAAATACGGTTCGGAATGCATACATTGGGGGGGGGCCTTCAATATATTAGGAAAGGAATAAACCTTATAGTAATCTTCTATATACTCCTTTATAACCTCCTTGAAGGAATCTAGACTACAGCTCGTATAGAAGCTACTAACTGTGAGGGTCCCTTCCTCCACTCCCGACTGACAGCCAGCAACTTAAGGATGCCGTGGGGGGGTGTGCAAATCTCAGCAAACGACAAAGTACGAAGGCCCAAAGTCAGAAGCGCATATTGTAAGATCTTGTACTGATTGAACTCACTTGCAGAATGTCGAATTCATTAGTGGGTTCCTTCAGGAAAAATGTCCGCCACTCCCGAGCTTCAGAATTTGCTATCGTGCGCACAGTCGACCATGGGACTCTGGTAGGGGTCCTTGGCTTCGTGATCCTTACGTACCTACATGTTCCCCAAACCCTAAACCCTAATAGGAGCTCATACTTTGGTCTTGAAACGCAGGAAACAAGTAGGGGCCATGGCTTTCAAGGGTTGTGTCATACATGATGTCAGGACGTCACAACAAGTGATTAGGGTCTAGCAAGTGATGGCTTCCCATTGATATTACACAGCGCCCCGCACCCCCTATCCCCCTGCAATTGCAAAGAATTCGGGCAAATCCATTAATGTTATGGGATATGTATTGAAAGCATTGGATAGGGCGGCCTCTGCAAACCCTTTCAAACTCCTTTCAATTGGTATCTGTTTCAAGCTAAGTGAAACCAACTTAAATCCATTACAGCTGAGTCAAAATCTATCACAATCCAATCAAGACCCAATTAAACTCGTCAAATTTCAAGTAAAGCCAACTAACATCAGTTGAAATCTAAGTACAATCCAAGTAAACCAAGTAAAGCTCAGTTATAAACAATTGAAGTCTAAGTAATACCTGCTCAAAATCAATCCCAACTTAAAAAAGCTCATGAAGCCATTGAAATCAAATTGAAATCAACTGAAGTCTAACTAAAATCGAACTAAACCCGATGATCATCGTACTGAAACCCATAGAAATCACAACGAGATTTTAAGGTTTTTTCCTGAAGCCTGGGCGAAATACCCTAAATCCTAAACCACGTAGGGAGGCAAGGGGATCCCGAACTCCGTGTCATATGCTCAGAACTCAGAACCCCCTTAATTCGTTGTTAGGTGGCCCCAGTCTTCCCCGCTCTTCTGGATTTTTAGACACCCGAACTTTTGTGTTGTTTGATATTTTTTGGGTTTTGGGTTTTGGGTTTAGGGTTTAGGGTTTAGGGTGGGGTGTGTGATATGATGGGGTGGGGATTAGCTGCCTTCCGGAGCGCGCCCTTGCTGTGGCTTGGCATTGATCCACAGGTTTTCATCAAACTGATCCTCATCCACTTCGGGAACTTCCTCCCAAGCAAGCGGCTACTTCAACAGCTGAACCTTACACCCTAAGCCTTTAAAACCCCAAACCCTGAAACCCTAAACCCTTAAAAACCGAAACCCTTAAACCCTAAACCCTAAACCTCGATTTCAGGACAAGGTCTTGTCCTGCTCCAGCTCTTCCAAAGTACCCTGGACGTCGGCGAACCTGAAGTCCTGATAGTCGCGGGGGGTTTCCAAAATCAGGGGTAGTTTCAAAGGGGTTATATTGGGGTTTGCCAAATCTATGTGTACCTTAAAAGGGGATATGTAGGGGTTAGAGGGATATTTAAGGTTTATAAGGCTTGCCAAATTTGGGGGTGCCCGGGGATATATCGGGCTTATAGGGATATATTGGGTTTAGGGTTTCCCAAAATTAGGGGTACCTGTTTTGGGGTGTCAGCTCAGAAATCAATCAGGTGTTATGCAGTTATGCACAATGGCTAGCGCGCAGCACGCCTGGTTTACGTAGCCATTTTCGGTAATGGCCGTTTCCGGAAGGGGATCCTCAGCAGCCACAACATAGGGGTACACTTAGCAATGCAGAAGCATATCCGGGGAACGAGAAGACGATCACACATATCACGGGGCCCCGCGCCAGGATGATATGGATATGAGCCGCAGTCAATAGTTCCCAGATAATTAACGGACATGGGTTCCTAGTAGGGAACCTATTAGGAACCATGATTCACTACAAAAGGGACCCCAATGTACACCCTTAATGGCCCCTTGCTAAATCTAATGTTGACAGCAGCTCTTGTCGGGATCAGTTTCAAAAGCATCCATGTAAGCCCCGGGCAGGTGATAGTTCCCGCGCAGAAGGCACAGACTTCCGTCGGAATAGGAGTTGCAAGCCCCCAGGCACTTGACGGCAGCCTGCATGAGACGCAATCTCAAAACCGGAGCTTTAGTGCATCACCTCCCCCATATGTCAATAGAGGACTGAATATATGTGTGGAACCTGTGGATATATATATATATATATGCATATATGTGCCGCGTACACATGCCATAATCTTCTATGTTTATATATATATATACACACATACATACGCACATGTGTATGTGTATATATATATATATGTATGTATGACAGCGCTGGCTCTCAGGTCCCTGCTGACAAATTGGTCTGTGGAATCTGCGATGGCTTTAGGCACATCAGACCATCTTCTGACAACAACGACATACCTTGCGCGAGCAGAAAGGAAAGGCACCAGGCTTTGCTAGGCAGGACAGAGAGTTGGATGTTGGGATGCCGTCGTTCCGGGCGGCTTGCAGAGACTTGCTATATGTAGCCCCTCCAACGTGGTACAAGTACCACATTGGAGGGGCTAATAACCAATACAAACTCAAGCCTAAATACCACACCACACCCCAAAAACGACTGCACTATATACGAGGGTCCAAGTAGTAACTACTGTCCCAGCGCGACTTTACTTACAGAGGTTGTGCTACCCGCATGTCCCGTGGTCACGGCTCGGCGTTTCCCTGCTGCTCGCCGCTTGCGGGCTCCGCATTCTCACGACGGTACCTCGCAGAATCCAACCGCGCGCAAACTAGAAGAGCATCAGAAAGGGGTGGTAGGGGCAAATATCACCTTAACAGCTTTTTGCTCAATTTGTCACGTACAGAAGGCATTCATTCTCAAGTCGAGTTGAGTTGAGAATGTGTTTCACGCATCTTTCCTGGCAACTGGCAGACGTCGGCTTGCTGGTTGCAGCCTGCAGGCACAAGCCTGGAGAATCCAGCAGGCAAACCTAAAACTTGTGTCAGCTACAAAGGAGATTACATGAGACTCTAGGAAACTTACCTGGTTACGACTTGGGATGCGAATTTTCAAATAATACCTACCTTGCGCTCAAAAGCCTGTAAATATTACCTACCTTGGGCTGTTTGGATCCCTACACATCCCTATAAACCATGGTTCCATTTCATTTTACATTTGCCTTGCCATTTGCTTCTCCAGTATAAGGGTAATGCATTCAGCCATGTGGATCCCTAGGGTACCCTAAACCCTGAGCCTGGTTATGACTTGGGTTTTCCCCGCCTAGAGGACATTGTTTTGGGAGGTGGCCTGCGCATAGATTTGAATACCTTCAGCCTTCCCTTTGGAGTACTAAACCCTAAACCCTAGGAGGAATGCAAAAGAACATGGACACGACTATGGGGCTTAGGGTTTAGAAGGAATGGAAAAGAAAATTGAAATTACTAGAACGGGTTATATAGGGAGTACTATAACGGTCCGTTCCTTCATTACCAACTAACCCAACATAAGCTGCCGTTGCTTCATCTAACGTCTATGTCCATCCGCAACTCGCAGCTCTACAGCAGTAAAGTGTGTGCTTGGCCACTGATTCTGGCACTAAATACCTTTGTACTTGGGAAGTTCAGCAGGAAAAGATAGAAACAGGTT